CTTTCCTCATCATCTTCCACAAACCTTATCAACTTGAATACCTCATTGTGCCAGGGCAACCATGGTTGGTAATATGCCATGACATGCCCTCCATAGGAACATTTTGATTTTGTTTGGAACACTTGCTGTCCATAATTTCTTCCAAAGTTCCTGTTCCTGCTCCCCCAAGCGTGCCTAGTCATGATGCTCTTCGCGACTTAGCATTCTATACCCGCTTTTTACTGAATATTCTCCCCTGTTATCATAGTGCCACACAAGGAAATCTGATCCTTCCTTTATGCTCACTGGTATCATGCTGATGGCTTATACTTCCGCCTCCACAAATCTGTTCCTCAAGGTAGTCTCTTTCCATTGCCTGGAATTAGGATCAATTAACTCATTCACGGTCTCATCCGTGCTCCATGCATCCCTAGGCGACTGGATATAAAGTCGGTGTTGCAAAGAACCTACTGATCAGTCCAAATTTTGATAGATTTTACGTTTCTTACCCTCCACCTTACTCCCCGTTTAAGTGTAGAAATAGACTCCCACAAACTCCTCCATGTTAATGATGGTTTGTTGCCCAGACTTGAATAAAGAAATGAACTTTTTGGAAAGTATTTGCCTTTAAGCACTCGATGCACAAGTGTGTTTTCATTCTTGAGCAGCCGCCATCCCTGTTTAGCCACCATTGCCTTGTTGAAGTTTATCATGTCACGGAACCCCATTCCTCCATACTTCTTTGAATAGCACATCTTATCCCAACTAAGCCAATGTAAACCTTTTTTGTCCTTGTTTTGTTTCCACCAGAATTTGCTTATGACTCTTTTCATTGCCATGCACAAAGTTTTTAGGAAGTAGAAAACATCCCATGGTGTTCGCTGGAATAGCTTGCACCACAGACATGATAAACACCTACTTGCCCCCTTGTGAGAGCATTTGGCTCAGCCTTCCAATCAATCGCCTTTCCATTCTGTCCTTGAGCTCTTTAAAAGCTCTCTTACTTGCCCTTCCTACCATAGAAGGCATTCCTAAATATTTTTCCATACCTGATATGTTCTCAATTCCCAACGAGGTCTTTGTTTCGGCTTTCATCCTATCCTGCGTGTTGCAACTGAAATACAAGGCTGATTTATCAAAGTTTATGTATTGGCCAGAGCTTTCTTCATACCTCCTTAGCACGTGCCTCACCGCCTCACTTTCGTTTCCATCTGCTCTAGCAAATATGATACTGTCATCAGTGAAAACAAGATGAGTAACTCTAGGTCCAGCCTTGCATCCATTCCATGGATTCGACCTTCGCATTGGTATTTGTGTAACAGTGATAAGAGCCCTTCTGTACAAATTAGGAACAAATATGGGGAAAGTGGGTCTCCTTGTCGGAATCCTTTTTCGGGTCTGAAGACGTCAGTCATGCAACCATTAATCAGAATTGATCAAGAGACTGAAGTTACACACTTCAAGATAAGACCAACCGAATGTGAAACCCCAATCTAATCATCATTCTAGCAAAAAAATTCCATTCCACTCTATCATATGCTTTGCTTATATCAAGTTTTAATGCAAAGTAACCATCCCTCCCTTGCCTTTTGTTTTTCAAGGAATGAAGCATTTCGTAGGCAACCAGGATATTGTTAGTGATTAATCTCCCAGGGACAAAGGCACTTTGAGCATCACTGATACAAACTGGAAGGATGTGTCTGAGCCTATTGACAAGGACTTTTGCTAGAATTTTGTAGATGACATTACACAAACTAATTGGTCTAAAATGGCTAACATTTTTAGGATCTTTGATTTTTGGAATAAGCATAATGTTAGTATGATTTATGTCTTTAATCTCCCTCCCCTCGTTTAGACATTCTAAGCAATAATTTATAACATCAGTCCCAATAATATTCCAGAATTTTTGATAAAAAAGTGCTGGCATACCATCGGGTCCTAAGGCTTTGGTTGGGTGCATCTGTCTGATTGCTAATTGAATCTCTTCAGCTTGAAACTCTGCAAAGTGTGAATTGTTCATTTCATTTGTTACCTGCGACTCAACTGCCACAAGGACATCCTCGAAGTTATCAGTCCTGTTTGATTGGAATGGTTTCATGAAGTATGCAGTGACAAGTTGTTGGATTTCTAGATCACCCTCACACCATTCCCCATCTTCATTCAACAGCCCCTTGATTAAATTTCCTTTTTTTCGTTGGGTTGCCTGTGCATGAAAGAATGCTGTATTTTTATCACCTTCCCTCAACCAAGCAATTCTTGACCTCTGTAGCCAGATCAGCTCTTTCTTTTCTAACAGAATATTTAGCTCCCTTTTTATGCTAGTTCCCCGTGACAAAACTTCATCCGTAGGGCCCGCATGTTTAATGCTTTGGAGCTCCCTTTTTCAGAAGGTTTATTTTATTCCTCCTACTGCCAAACCTCCCATCATGCCAAAGTTTTAATTGTTCCCCCGTCCTTTTCAGCCGTTCACGCACGTCCCCGTGCAAACCTCCCTGCCATTCATCTTCAATCACGTGCCCGCACTCCCTCTCAGTGGCCCACATAGCCTCAAACCGAAATATGCTTCTCCCTTTGTGTTTGTTCTTCTGTTTTGCACCTTCTGTATTCGTTAGTATAGGCACATGTTCAGACACTGATGCAACCAAATGTCGAACTTCACTATTGGAAATCTTTCAACCCATAATTTTGTTGCAGCTCCAAGGTCGAGACGTTCACGTATATTATTATTCCTTGTTCATCCCCATTCCCACGTGAACCATGAACTCTTAAAACTCATATCCTCCAAGTCACAATCTTTAAGTGCATTTCTAAACTCTATCATTTGGCTTTCCCTCCTAAGACAGTCACCTAATTTATCAGAACTTTATAATATTTCATTAAAGTCTTCCATGCATAACCATTCCATATCATTCTGAAGCTTAAGCCTCCTCAAAAAGGCCCATGTGTCGTGCCTTCTACTAGAATTTGGTTCACCATATACACCTATTAGTCTCCACGGTCTAGCTTCGGTTTCTTCCCTCACTTTCATATCAATGTTGTTTTGGAGTAGCTTAACAATTTCACCTGCACACTTTCTCCTTAAAGAACGGCTTATCCTCCACTTCTTCCTTCTGCACTAACTCCAAAGGCAACATTCATTCCACATCGTCTTCTTATTCTATCGAGCTTCCTTTCATGCAGCTTAGTTTCACTTAAGATATACCACATGGGGATCTTCTTTATTGATTAGCTCTCTCAGAGCTCTAACTGCACGTGGGTTCCCAAGCCCACGGCCGTTCCAGGCCATGCACCTCATTGTTCTCCGTGGGACTGGATACCAGTCATCGCCGTTTTCAAATTCAGCAAATCCTCCCCTCTTTTTTTTTTTTTTTTTTTGCATTATGCTTCTGCTCGCTTTGCCATTCATTTTTTCTCTTCCCTCCACATACGTTGTATCCCCCTTCTGCTGTTTAAGACCTAGCCAGTTTCTTCCATTTCATTTTAGGATTGATGGGTCGTGTTGTGTGGTGCGCCACTACCACCTCTGCCAGTTTATCTTGGTCTGCTCGTGGACTCAAAGCCTGGTTATTAATTGGTGCACACACTGCAGACATCCCAGTATTCTTTCCAGTTGTTACCACATCTACACGGGCATCTCTCTCCCCTGCTGGGCACTGTTTAGCGTTTTTTTCCCTTCCTTACTTCCATTGGGCCCCATCCTCCCAGCCCCTTTTCCGTGTATCTCACCATTCCCTTTATTTAGGCCTTCTTCGGCTGAGTTGAAAATCCCTACGAACGAGGAAGATTCGTGATTTTCGCAAGAGAAGTTATCACTGCTATTTTCACGCTTTTCTTGTTGACTTGCCCCGATAATTCCGCCCTGTTCTAGGTTCAGTCAGCGGTTGACGCTTCCCATTGCGCCTTCGTCCGCCCTCGATCCCTCTCCCATCGTTTCACCGGCCTTATCACTTCTCCTCCCAGATTCGTTGCTGTTTGTCTTTGTTTTTTCCCTTTGACGTGCGTACCCTCCATAGTGGTTCAGTTCTTTCTGGGGTGGTGACACTCTCATCCAGTTTCCATACTCTGGCTTTCGTTTGTATCGTCACCATTTTCATTCATATTACATGCCATCTCTATATGCCCCAGCAGCCCACCTGCATAACAAAAGGTTGGTAATCTCTCGTACTTCACCTGCCCATAAATGGCTTCCCCTTTGCCAGGCCTAGCGAGATAAACCTTCGAAGCGGTTTTGTGATGTCTACTTCTATTCTGAGCCGCATGAAGCTCTCCAATTCATAAAAGGCCGTTTAGGCATTCAACTCCACTAGAGTTCCTATTTTATTAACTATTCGTTCTGGCATTACGCTATTGATCATGTTCAACGCAAGGCCGTACATGCGAACCCAGAAAAGAGCACAAGTGAAATTATAATCCTCTGGTCTAAGAGTGCCATCATATTCTCTGAATAAAACCAGATTCTTATTAAGGACCAGGTTGATCCATCCAACCCCCTTTGCTTATCTTTCAATGTCACAAATTTGAAGAGAATCAGGTTGGCATCTATGAAGGACACTGTTACCTCTTTCGACAAACGCCAGACTACTTTTAAGTGTCCCTACTATCGCATCTTTGTTGTACGGTCTCCCTGTCAATAGTTTTGCGACCAACCAGTTCTTCCCCTCTTCTGCTTCATCCGCCTCTTTTATTCCATCTGTGCTTACTCGTTCCAGTTCATCTTCAGTCACGATCAAGTTCTGCCATAATTTTTTCTATGTTTTCAATTCTCTCCATACAGATTCCGCCTTTACCCTCCACTACTCCTATGTAACCTAGATCCCTCCTACCACTGCCACTGCTACTCTGCAACTATAACAATCCTCTAAAGACTGGAACCTTGAGGCCGCTCTTGTGGACGAAGACTCTCGCAAATAACACTACTAAGCAATACTCCTGCAGAGACCTTTTATATATGTGAAAAATAAAAGGGATAAAATTATATATGTGAATAATAAAAGTAACAAAATTATATGATAAATCTGATGCATTACTGGGATAAATTTTGAGAAACTGTTAGTCCAACACAAGGTGAGTCCCCCCTTCACAAAAATTGAAGTTGAGATCACTCTTTTTTCTTTCCATTTGACAATTGAAGAACATATCTACACATTTTATATAGTCGAAACCAAGCCATACAATTCATGATTTTTCTTTGCTAAAAAACTGGAGTACAACTAACGAACATCAAATTTCAATTCAAAGGAGAATAAACTGGAATATCAATTTCTCCACATACAATCAAACCTATTAACGAGTTCAAAGCATATATCAAACTGGATTCTTAACTAAGCTTAACTGTCCCTTCCAAACTATCGATGCAGAGAGTGTTGATAGATTTCCTACTCTTCCTTCTGCTTCTATGATCTATCTGTTCTTCTCTAAGCATAAACTTCAGCCAAAATTGTAAGTGAACATCATCTTACTGCACAGAAGGATCGTTCCACCTTTTTCGTTCCACCTTTTGTTACCATTGGAAAATGAAACTACCAATATGTGGAAGATATATGCAGTATGGAAGGCTATTAAACCCTAGCTACAAACAAATGATATAAGCTCCCAACAACTAACAGTCATTGGCTTGTTGCTAGACTAGTTTATGCGTTGCCGTTGCCAGAGCTGCTACAGGCTTGATTAGGAAGTACAGAGTTCCCAAAATCTCCATCCAAACTCATCTGCTGCACTTCCTGAGGGGAGAGGATCTTAATGCATCGGACACAGTTGACAAACTCACTGAAATGGAACAGATGTAAAATCTGTCAGAGAAAAGGGCTAACTACATTGACAATCACAGGATCAAAAATTCCTGAATGTTACAGAATTTAATTTATTTTTTTACCAATTTGGTCTTATGCCAACAATGAAAAGAATAGATGGGAAGGGCTATAAGAGGAAAGGAACAAGAAGACTTACTCCCATGGGTCATCTCCAACTAGTAGAACATCATTCTCGTGATCCACATAGACTAGTTTCCAGCCGATTCTGCCCCGGTCTTCCAGCTGCCCCTCAATGCCAAACCTACGAGCCAGATCTTGTTTGAGTTGATCATAACCTGAATAACGGGCTATATCTATTGATCTTCCAACAGCTCCACGTTTGTACACCTTGAAAAGGTAAAAATGTAAATTAGAAACCTTGACAACTGGATGATAAGAAAAGGATTTGCCATGTGTGGAGTGTGCACACTCACCTTTGTGGATTAGGGTTAAAAGGGGTAGGGATCACATGTATAGAGATTTACTCAATGTGATTGCTATGTTTAGAACAACTTATCCAAAAAAACAATAATAATAAAAAATAAGTTTAGAACAACAAACCTTAGTATATGTTCGCATTCTCTGAAACTGTGGTTGTGGAGCCCATGCAGCCCGGTTTATGAAGCTGCTATCATTTACAGTGGAATCAATGGAATTAAATGTCATATCTGGAACTCCAAATGATTGGGAAACCATCGAAGATGAAAGTTCCTGCTGAACGTCTTTGGGGTTTTCATAGGTGGTGAGCATTCCCCCCGAAGAGAGGTTATTGGAAAAATCTTTCCCCAGCCCCATCATGCCCTTTGTCAGCAAATTGTCAGAATTCATGGTCATCCCTATTTGACCCTCCATATTCGTGCTGTATGAAGCATTGTTCCTAGGATCTGCCTGAACTTCTCCATCTTGACTTGTGTCTCTCAACAACATTGTTTGAGGATTGTAAGTCAATAAGTTGTTTTGCTGCAAATGAACATCATTCTGAGAAAGGCACACTGAAGTCGTAGAAGATGATGTGTCCAAATAATCTGCCTGTGCATTAACACCATTGATGTAGTTTTGTGGTGCAAAAAGGCCTAGATTTTGACTCTTGGAGATATTTAACAAGGGTTTAACATCAGACTTCTGCTGTAGTTCTTTATTTATATTAGCATTAGATGACATGGTTTCCAAGGTATTAGGATTCAAGACTGTGGCAGCAGACTGAGCCATGTCATCCCCTAATCCAGTAATTCTGTGGGCTCTGCTGTTTATCAGTGGTTGAAGAACATTTGGACAGTTTGTTGATGGTGAAGTGGAACAAGATGGATTATCATCAGTAATCACAGACTGTGCAGCTATAACAGCACCAGTCATTACACTGCTAACAGCTGTGGAGAGCTGATTTGTTGCTGTGGTTGGGGAGGGACCCACATGACCAGGAATTTCAGGCAGCATTCCAGGTTGCTGTTGCTGAAGCTTTGACTGCAGAGGTGGCTGGGAGAACCGAACATTTGCCCGGCTGTTATTTTTGGACATCTGCTGTGTGACAACATTAGACTGAGGTAGCAAGGTAGGTGACATTTGAGGCATCTCTAATACTTGGCTAGTTGCCACAGACGTGGAGAAGCTCTGAGATGCATCTAACAACTGCCTTTGTTGATCTTGGGGTTGGGCAAGTTGAGCAGGCTGCTGAAGTGCGGACTGCTGAGCCAAAAGTGACTGCTGTTGCTGCTGAAGCTTCTGCAACAGTTGAAACTGAATCTGGTTGTCAGGCATTTGTAAAAGCTGGCTAGCTGGATCAGGCAGCTGGGAATGCATTAGGTTTTGCTGTTGATTTGGGCCCATAAGATGTTGCTGTTGCTGCCGCTGCTGCTGCAGGTTTTGAGGAAGACTTCTTGGGAGTTGATGGATTTGAGTAGATGTTTGCTGCTGCAGAAGGATGTTGTTACTTTGGACAAGGGTTTGAGGCTGCAGAACTTGAGCCTGAACTTGATTAGATGGTAGGGTCTGAGCAATCAAATTTTGCCTTGACTGCTGAGTCATGTCACTCAGCTGTTGTGGCTGCATAATGGATCCCAATGTGTTCATCGTAGATGGTAGCTTTGGAAGCTGATCAAGCTGCTGCACTTGCTGAGGTAGCCTCTGAGCATTGAACTGCAAATTGTTGGGCTGAGGAATTTGTTGTGCTGACAAACCCATTTGGCGAGAAATATCTGCTCCAGCAAAGTTTTGCATAACAGACCCAGACAGAGACTGCATTACATTTGGCTGGATTGTGTTTGCCAATACAGGATTATGCTGCATATTCATCCACTGGACCAAGCTAAGCCCCGGAAGGGCCTGGGAATCCTTCATGCATATATCATCGCCAAGCCAAGGCATTGGCCTCTTAAATAGATTATCTAAGTCGGAGGAGTCATCATCTGCAAAATTGTTCGGTAGGTGGCTAAACCATGTCAACATATGAAGAAAGACAAGAATGTTTAAGAATTCAATCATCAGCATAGCACAGTAGGAGAGTTGGATATTAAATAGACCAAATAGATTAAAAGGAAAAATATCAATCGACACAAGAAAAAAGAGGAAATATATCCCCAAACCCTGCCCCACATCACTCGCTGTTCTCATTGCAGAATTGCAATAAGTGGATGTCATTTACTCCTAATCATTGCTGCTCTACAGCTTTGACCACGGAAAAGACCAAACTGTATGTTGAGAATTACAAGAGCTTCATTGTCTATGGGACAGTCATTTTCAAGACCCAAACCATGCATGCCCAAAGATAACCTTGACTATGGAATCTAACATTAATCTTATCCCACTGTTTGTCTCTCATAATTTCCCCAATTTTGTATGTTGATTTCTTTCTTCTTTTCTTTTTGGACCAACTTTGAAGTTCTGAATATGTACTTTGTTGCTTCTTCCTTTAAAAAAATTAAGCATAAGACATTCCATCAAAATATACAAATGCAGTGAAGAGAAATTTTCTAAAGAGAAACCCAAAAAGATATTAGTAAAGCTTAAGAATAACAACCAATGGGCTCTACCATACAAACAAATAAGTCTGAAATATTCGAAACCTTCTTCAACTAAATTCAGATGCAAAATCAATTAATAAAGCTTTTAATCTCCAAAGTGTTTGGGGTTTAAGCTACAAATTTATTCATCAATGCAGCTGCGACAACATTTTTCCTAAGCAATATGAAATTTATTTCCTGAGTAATATTTCTCATCATCATCATCATCATCAAAAACGTCTCACTTGTCTTTTCAGGCAAAGGAAATTTACCCAAAAACCAGAATTTCCAAACCCCACAACCATCAGCAAAGAATTCAAGAAGTGGACAATGGGTTTATGTCAGGTTTAACTTAATGAATTTTCTATACATACTTTGTGACAATGACTGCTGATTATACTAGGTTAGTCAATTCCAATTTAATTGCTCATTTCATCACGTGCATACTTACTGTATTAAAAAAAAGGGCTTATTTCATAAGCCTTCTGTTTGGTTTTCTGATTAAATATATTTCAATTTTGGCATCTTCTCTTTGTAATTTTTAAGAAACTCTCTTGCAGACATAGCCTTTTCAGCCTTGACTCCAGAGGAAAAATATAGCATACAAACAACCAATAGAAGGCAGAGAGGATACTGCCAAGAAACAAACTTCGTAAGTGACATCTAAGTAACTGTTCATGCACAAATAGAAAATGATTATGCAATGATACAAAGCTATCAGATCTGCTACCTGGCATTCCAGGTTGTCTAGGGCGCTTTGATCTGAAGAATGGAGGGGGACAGATGAAAAATGGAGCTGTAACTGGTTCAATCTCCCAAATGGATACTCGATTACGTCTTTCCCCAGCAGTTGACTCATCCCAACCAACCTATTCAAGAAAATAAGCTGGTTAAAAATGTTATCTACATCATTGAAAAGAAAATCCTCATATTGCTACAATAAAAATAAAGAAAAACAAAAAATAAAATTAATTAAAAAAATCTACCTGCATATTACGCCACTGTGAGTTTTTCCATCTTACAGGATCAAGATCGCTAATTCCCGTAATTGTACCCATATACCTGAAGGGAAAAGGATTATTTTATTTTCCACCATTATTTATGGTAAATAGCCAAATCAAAATTTTCTGATCCAAGAATTCAACATCTTAATGCTCAAGCCACATTTAAACTCAGGTTTATAATTGCTAAGTACAATATAAAGGCATCAGAAATTTAAATGCTAAAACATCTGTACTTCCAAAATTTTGGTCATTCCATTTGAGTTATACCAACATCAAAGCAATAATTAACAGCCACTTTTATAAGGCAATACAAGGGAAATTTGAAGATATTAATCAATATTCGAAAACAAACAAAGATTTGAAATACATCTACCTTCTTGTTCCTGACTCTTCAGTTTCAAACATCATTCGAAAGCGCATGCCAGGTGATATTTGATTGTTGTACACAGCTTTGTAGTACTTGGCTAAAGGAATAACAAATTCAGATGGACTAGTCCTAAACAAACAAAGATTTTTTTAGAATGAATACTTACAGGGTAAGAAATTTTCCAAACTAATCAAGTATTTTAATGTGGGTAAACTTATTTAAAAGTCAGAAAGGAATTGTTATGGACCTTGGATTATAGAATACAGTAAAGGGGCTATTGTTTGCTGTTGCATGAGCAGCTGCAGCAAGGATGCCAATATGCATGCTATCACTAGACAATACTGATGATGATAGATTGGTGGGTTGCCTGTTAGCCCGCCTTATACCTAAGAGAAGCTGCTGCTTTTCATCTCTGCTCACAAATTTTAAACATCATAAGAGTGATAAAATTGCCTTTATATGAAGAGGGAGCAGAAAAAAAAATTGGACACATAATATGACAAGGCTTCTGTAAATAAAGAGACATGAAACATTATGAAATCAGTAATTAAAATTACAGATTCCAAGAGGAACATCACTTCATTACCATTACCATTACCTAATGAATAAAACCGAGTCACCAGCAAAAAGTCTCTTTCCACTAACAAATAGACTCCATCCTGTTGTAAGCAAGTGACGTTTTGGTTGTCCTGAAATTGAAAACCAGGGTCTGGAATTAGATAGATCTAGTTTATAAAGCACAAATAAAACAATTATTACTAAGACTGTAATATCAATTCATAGATCCAACTAGTGAAAGTTCAAGGCCACAAAATGAACATACCACGATAGATATGGCGGAAGGTCCAGACATTGTCATGCAGATCTCTGGCCACAAGTTCTTGAGCAGGTGGTTGCATTGAGAAATCCTGTCAAAAGAAGCAGGAAAGGGATTAATTTGTGAAGTTAAAACAACCAACCTTCTAGGTGAAGTAAAACTGCTTACAAGAGGAGGAAAAATTTTTTCGGCCGCACGGCGAGGAACAGAAAAACCTCCATGAGTGCTTGTATCACTTGCTGTCAATGTCTTACAGAAGAATTCTGGCGGTGGCTTATTTGCCCTAAGAGAAAGATCTGATCTCAGTAACGCGTCTTTATCAAACTGCACAAAATATCAATAGGTTAAGTTCTTATAGCCACTTAACCATACTAAGGTCATGTATATATTTTTCAAGAAATTTAGATTAGTTTGATCCTGCTATTTTACTTCCAGTTGCTTTCTTTAAAGCCATATAAAATCCCATATCATATTCAAAATTCTGTAACAAGATATAGATTCTTTTAGACATTTGGGATAAGTTCTTTACAGAAGAAACAGGTTGGAGGGTCATCTGAGCATAGACTTCGTCTGTGTCAGGGTCTGCCTGCAAAATCACGCAAAAGAAAGTTGAGAAAGTGAATAATATACACAAGATCATCAATATTTGTAAAAGGCAAAGAAGAAAAGGCAGAAAGAATTAGGTAACAATACATGCAAGGTGACATTGTGAAGGAGACATAATAGCTTCGAAGGAAGATTTGGGTAGTTTGGAATTTGAGCATCGACATCTTTCTTCATAGATGCTGCAACCTGAGATTGGAAATTTCATTGAATTCAGAACACATGCTTAACCTAGATAGAAGATGAAAGGTTTAAACAAACAACAATTTTCATGTGCTATCACCATATATCTGAATATAGTGGCCATTCTTTCCATGCTACAAAGTTTGAGTTAAACAAAGTTCAACTACCCTCCATAATTTCTAGTAAAAGAAACTTTTAAAATTCCATGAACACAACACTCGGGAAATTAAGACTGCAACTGACAATATGATATGATTGAGGCAAATCAATGCAAACAGAAGAATAAAAGCAAAAGAAGAGCTGTTGTAAATGCAAAGTAGGTGTGAGAGATGCTGATTATGAGGATAATAACAAAAGTAGTAGCACCAATATTATTGCTTTGAAACCAACATGACAGAACTAGTATTGTATAGTACTAGAAATGCATACCAATTGTTTCATTAATACAAACAAATAAACGCATAGAATACAAGGAAACAATTTCTTATCTTACTGGTAAAAAGGGTTTTCTTTTTAGTGGCCAAAATAAAAAGAAAAATCAACCGAAAACATTATATTCTCCTCCCAACTACCCATCACACGATTCAACGCCCAAATACTTTTGAGGAAAATGCCAACAACAACCACAACACCGGATCAAACCCAGATTTTTTTTCTTAAAAAAAATTCATTCTCAAAGGAAAAGAAGAAAAGAAAATAGAAACAAAAAGGTAATCATAAAAAATCTATACTACTTATTGAGTGATCCAATTAATGTAAAGAGTAAATGAAGACAAGAGTTGGTAATTGATTTACCTGTTCGCTGTGGCCTTGAGGGAAGTAGACAACGTGGGTCCCAGCCGCCGGCAAGTTCACCAGCGGCCCAGCACACGCCTGCCATAGCTCCGGGTTGATGCTCTTCTCTGGCGCTCCACCTGCATCACCACGTTTTAAGTAACAATCGGTCAACTCACTTACCCTCATTTTTCTTTCTTAGCTGGGTGTTTTCCGGGAAAAAAGGAAATAAAAAAAAAAAGAAATTCTCAAAATAAAAAAGAAATAGACTTTATTAATTCGGCCAGAGATTTTGGTTTCAATTAAAAAAAAAAGCAGAAAAAAGAGCAAAGCTTCCAGCTTTTAAAGTAGAGATTGACTCAGAAAATCGGACAAAACCGACGTAAACAAGAACGAAGATAAAGACAAAAACACCTCTTACCTGATCCATCGGTTCTTTCAATGCTTTTTAGGATAAACAAAGTGAAAATATTAAATTAGTGAAAGAGAAAGAGCTGACCTTCAGACAAATTCGGAGCTGCCGCGTTGGGTGCTGCTCCGGCTCCGGTCGCCGGCATCTTCATTGCTTTTTCCCTTCAACTTTCAGACAAAAACAAAATCTAAACTTGTCAGCCGTTCATCTCTGGTTTGGTTGAAGAAGAATAGCAAGGATGCTAGCGTACTTTTGACAATAGAAGGGGTTGCTGTTGAGTTGAGAGCTCAGATCAGCTGATTTAGAAAGTTGAAATAATAATAATAGTAATAGTAAAAAAACAACTTTATTTCCCGGGAAAGAAAATAAATTTTTTTAGAATAAAAAAAGACAGACGGATTCCGGCGACAGTGCCGGCGAAAGTGGGGAGAGAAAGAGGCCAGAAAAACAGTTGACAAGGAAAGGGAGGCAGGAACAATAATCTAAAAGGAAAAAGAAGAAATGGGGTTTGAACATTGAAGGCTTTGTCACACAGGCCAAATCCTGTTATGTACCCCTACAATACCCACACATTTCCTTTCCTCTGTTTTTCCTTCTTACTTCGCCCACCACTCTCTATCTTTTTCCTTTTTTTTTTTTTTTTTTTTTTAATTATTATATCCCTTAATTCTTTCAATCGTTAATCAGAAAAAAGTCTTAATTAATAACCATGCTTGTAATTCCCATAACTTTTTTGTTTTGTTGCCAAACTTACCCCTTTGCTTGCTAATCTAAAACCACTCCAGGAACAAAGCACAGACAAAATCATGTGTCTCATTGACTCAATGCTTTGACCATCATTATCAGAACCCCATTATCATCATCATCATCATCCTACACCATTCAACATCCCCTTTTTTACTATTATTTCTTGTCCCTGTTTCTTTTTCTTTCTTTTTTTTTTTTTTAATCTTCTCTTGTTTCCGGGTTGAGTGTTCTTTTAGCACAATTCAATTTTGAACGCCAACAAACCATTTTGGTTTCAAGTACTAAGATGCTTGAAGCAAATTGTAGAAAATAAAAAGCAAAGAAACAGATATTGAAAGATTTGTTAAATGATATAGCATCTTCCTTTTTTAACAATGTGTGTATTTAATGCTATGTGGTTCCAATAATTTGTTCATCATTCAAACGTAAGGTTTAATATTTGGGACAACAAACACAAAATTTCCCCTTAAAGTTGCAATTTTGACTCGTGTCTTTCCGACCATTATTGTGTACTTTCGACCACTGGAACAACTAATCAGTAGAGCATTTACAATAGTTTCCAAAAATACTTTCTGAAGATTTTGAAATTAAATTAAAGATGAATGGATTGAAATTTATAATATAGAAAATTATTATTACAACCCCAATATTACAAATATAGCATTTACAATGGAATGATTCAAATAGCTAACTATTTTAGAAATTTATTCACATAATGTAAGCTTGAATTTAATATGTAAATTTTTTATTACCTGTTTGATGTGACTATGGCAATCGGTGGAGTAATTAAAACGGACGAGCCTTAGATGAAGTTATGTATCATTGTCAATATTTATATAGCCATGCCCATCTTGTATGGCTGGCACTAAAAGCTCCTTTCAGGATTTTCATTTTTTCTTTTTTTTTTTTTTTATTACAATCTTCATCCATAACGTTGGTCGTTGGTGCTAACACATGGTAATTATATATTTATTCTGTCTTGTTTTGTTTTATATATATATATATATATATATCTTAAAATTATTTTTTTTTAACATCTCATTTTTCCTTTATATTCTAAAATTTTTTTTATGATTTTTTATTTTTTAACATTACAAAGTATGATATGTTTATCAAAAATATATATGATATTTTAATATAAAATACAATAAAGTAAAAATCTTTCTCTTAAGCATCATGAAAATTAAACACAAACAAGCAAATATGAGTCAAAGGGTATAATAATAGGAGTGTAAACTGTTATAAAATATTTTAAAATATTAAAACATGATTAATTAATAACTTAATTAAAACAATCAAGTTATGTTAATAAATAACTTAAGGTAAGGTCAAAATTATGATTCTATATTTAAAAGAATAATGTCTAAAGACTAAACAAGAAAGCAGTTGATTGCTATGCTTAAAGCAATCGACTCCCATACTTAGAGTAGTCAACTGCCATAGACATCCAGGAAAAGAAGTTAATTACCAAAGGCATGGAGTCAGCTGCTTTGTCAAACAAAAGCTAAACTTAGATTTTGTATAAGTAGTAATTAATTGCTAGTTTAAAGTGATCAACTATTATGCTTAGAAAGAGAATGGAGCTAATTCCAAACTCTTGCGGAATCGATTGCCATTAGTTGATAGTCTTCTAGAATTAATCTATGTTATAAGTAGTTGATTGCTATTGAACGAAGTTAATTGCTATATAAGAGGCCAAATGTTGGAAGCTTTTTGGAAAAATGAGTCAACTGTCATATAAATCAATCGACTGCTCACTTGTTGAATGCATTTTATATAAAGCAAGGAGTCAATTGCTTTATAAAGGAGTCGATTACCTTACTTTTGAAAACTTTCTAAAAATTGAAAATACAAAGAGGCAGTCAACTGCCTTCTTGGTGTAATCAACTACTCTATATTAAAAGTTACAACTTCCAAAAACATGAAAAATAGTTTTTCTTTGTACGAAAAGTTTGATTATTCAAATGAACAAATATGTCTACAACCTTTGAAAGAGACATACTTATAATCAAAACAAAGTGATTTTTTATTGAAACAACATAATTAAAAAATCACAAACTTAGAATTCAATATCTATAAATTAAGATTGATGTGTGTTTATTTGACATTCAATTAATATCCACTTCAATTTTGAATTATTCTTTTCTTTCTCCCTTTTTCTTATTTAATTTAAAACAAGTTACGTTAGCATTATTTATTGCAGAAAACCTTGCAAAGACAAGGTATTTTTGTTCTTAATAAGATGTGTGTATAGTAGTGAATCTTGATATATGATTTTAAGGGGTCAATTAAAATTATATATATTCATTTGTTATATTATTTAAATTCAAGAATTAATATCAGATATAGTATGTGCTCAACAAGAATATACTAATTTTTTCTAAGTTTTTTTTTTTAGATTGTCAAATCTCTATCTTCATGTTTATTACATGTATATCAAACATAGATACCTAAAAAAAAAAGCGACTCCAATCAATTAACATAATTTATTTGAAATTTTATCAAACAAAAAAAATGAAAAAAGTTACAAAGATATGGAAGATAAATATTGGCTAAAAAAAATAGACCTTTAGTATTTTGTTGAAAAGTTTTAATCTTGTTGACAAAACTAGAAAGTTCATTTTTTTTTTTAAGTTTACATGAATGTGACTTAATATTTATTACAAATATATTATTTTTAAGAGTTTGTGGATAATGATTGCAAATATAATAAATAAACAAATAATAATGTGATTTTAATTCTTTATAAATTACAATTGTTAAACTTAAATTAAAAATAAAAATAAAAAATAAAATTAACAAATAATAATTTTAATATGAGAGCTAATTAAATTAAATTTAAATATATAAAATAATTATAGTATAATATATATATATATATATTAAAGGGTTGAGGAATACTAGAAACAATTGCTTATGCAATTGTCTTTCAACACCTACTCATATAAAAAAACACATCATGCTATCATATGAAAGAGTGAGAAATGCTAAAGTCAGTTTTTTTTTTTCTATGAATAATAAATTATGAAATTTTAAATTGTTAAGAAAGTTAAAATTTTATTACCATAAGCTGCCAAATTTTTAAGTTATTATGACTAGGCTCATTAATATAACAAATGTTTAAATAGCTATTCATTTAACTATCCCTAGTATTGGTATTAAAGGGTTTGCAAAATTTTTTTTTTTTAGTAGGAGGGCAAGGCCCCCTCAAGCTCTAATGAAGCCTTGTCTTTATGTGTGTAGTGGTTTTTATACTAATGCAAAGTATAAACAAATAAGGCTTCATTGCATCTTGGAGGATTTTTGTTTCACCTTTTTGTATACTATAACTAGTGATGACAAAATAATCTTTAAGGAAAGTAGCATTTGTAGCACGTTTTGAAACCATTTCTTTCATGATTAAAGGTTCATAATTGCTAAACTCCAGCTATTTATAAAGAGGCAACAAGAAGTTCACAAGACAATTAAATATCTATAAGTTATATCTTATAGCCTTGTAATCCGTTTATTTTTCTAACAATCTTAAGGATTATTTCAAGCAATATGGACAAATTCAATTCTATCAAGGAGATGACAACTGATTTCTAAATATAGGAATGGTTTGATGAAGGCAACTACCTAACGTAGCAACAAAATATTCATATCCTCATCACATTGAAGATTGGATATGTTCCTACCATTTCAAGACCAGAAAAGAAAAAGGATGAATCTCATAATGAAACTCCAAAAAGGTAAAAGTGAAACAATTATTACTATACAATGCATAGATTGCATTTTAAATGGTGTGTCTAATTGTCTATTTGATACCTACATTACATACACATCAACAAAATAAGTATGTGATAAGTTGAATGTAAGGCACTTGAAAGAACATGTTACATCTAAGAAGTTCCTAGTTTTAAGATGGAACATGTATAAAATGATCGACTCAAAATCGGTCATGCATTAATTTCTTGAAATTGAGACTATTTTAAATAATTTCAAACAATACAAGATAAAGATGGATAAAGTAATTATTGTGTCATCTACAATTGACAAGTTTTCTTCCTCATGAAATGACTTCAAGAAAATATTGAAACACTAAAAGAAAAATATTAATCTTGAAGAGCTTGCAAGTCATCTTCGCTTAAAAGAGCAATATCTCAAGGAAAATGATAAAGAAAGGGAGGCTAGTTATTCAAATGTCAATATATTGGAAGATGTCAAGCCAGATACATTCACAAATTGAAAGGAATTTTCATCAAAAGCCAAGAAGTTCAAGAAAAAAAAGGTGCATGTTTTTATTGTAGTAAGCAATGTCATTTCAAAATAGATTATCTTGCAATCAAAAAGAAGAAAGATGAACCTAAAGCAACCAAAGAAAACTTTGTTGTTATAATTTCTGAAATCAATGTCATAAAAGACAATGAGGCATAATGGATTGATTCCGACACCACAAGGCATGTTTGCACTAATAAAGTATTGTTTAAAACTTTCGAAAAAGAATTGAAAGCAATGTGCTATACATAGAAAATTATTCTATAACTAAAATCAAAGGTTGGGGATTAATTAATTTGGAATTTACATCCAATTAACAATTACAAATGTTTTGTATGTTCTAGAAGTTAGGAAAAATCGTGTACCTATTAACTTACTTAATAAGCATGGTTTTAAGTTAGTATTTGAAAGAGATAAGTTTATCTTGTATAAAGGTGGTATATTTTTGGGAAAGGGTTATGCTTATAATGGCATGCATAAACACAATGTATCTCTTATTATTATTAATAATAAAAATAATTCATTTGCTTATTTACTTAATTCTTTTAATTTTTAGCATTATAAATTAGGACATGTTCATTATAATAAAATGAATGCAATGTCTAAATCAAATTTAGCTTCAAACATTAAAAAGA